TTATTTCCTTTCTGGTGTGGAAGATCAGACTAAGTTGCAACCACAGAGCATACTAAGACAGAATCTTGACACAANATGAGAGGTGTGTTTAAATCCTAAACATTAAGCCTTCTTTTATAGGGGGAAAATTCCCCCAACTATTGCTAACCCACCGATGTGGGAATCTGAAATTTTGACATTTCAACAGTAGTCACCTTCCCCTTCCTCTTATTTTACTATTTGGGTAAAGTCCCTTTGGTTTAACTTAACATTACTTATAGAAGTCTAATGGTATTTGGCCTTCAGTTATCAGTAAAAAAGAGTAAGATTGTATCACCTAATTAAACAATCTCTTTTGCTGGGGCGCAAGAGTGTCAAGCATGCATTAGACAAACACATCATATGCCATTCTCTAATTATTTATGTGAGCAAGCTGTCCTTACTTTGAATTCAATTGAGAAAATAGAATTTTATTGGAAAGATAAAGCAGGAAGATGAAGGGTGTGAGCCGCCAAGGACTATAAGAAACAATAGCCAAACATTCAGGAAGAAGATAATACAATAACAATGTGAGATCCACATTTTTATGTATCATTAAGGTTTTACATAGGACTAGAGACCTTGTTAGAGACTCTATTTTGACAAAGAGAAGTTTACACAGCAATTCATCGAACCCAGAAGTCACAAAATAAAAAGGATATACAAGTAAGCACACGTAAGCCTTCCGAATATTGAACTCTTACGCATAGAGGAAATCGATATACAAATTTTTAATTCTTCTTCTCTAAAAAGAAAATGATTCTTTGTTAGTTTATGTACTGCACAACACTACCATTTCACGTGAAGCACAAAAAGAGAAACTTTTTAGCTAAACTTAGTGATATTTGATAGCATTATTGATGTTTTATCCCTCTCCGTAATTCTTGAGCTAAGATATTATTATGCAAGAACGTCAATAATACTACCTTATTCTTTGACAAGTAATATATGCATTTATTACCCAAAAAAGAATTGGAAAGCACTTACGTATTGCAGAAAGTACAATAAATAGAGATGAAACCTCGAGAGAAAAGCCAGAGCAAAGACCAATTTGAGCTATTGAAAATAGATAGGAGATGGACTCATGCTTCTGGTATAGTTTTTATTATGATCTACTTGCTGTTAAATTCTTTTACAGAATGAGTGGATGGAAGTTTTAGGTTGTGGAGTGACAGAACAAGAGATATTGAAAAGAAGCGGTAGAACGGACAATGTTGCTTGGGCATTTGGACTTGGATTGGAGCGCTTGGCTATGGTTTTATTTGATATTCCAGATATTCGTCTTTTCTGGTCAACTGATGAGCGGTTCACTTCCCAAGTAATTTCTTCATCTGTCCTGTTTTTCGTTTTTTTAACCTTGTTCTGCTTTTTCGGCTAGTTCTTCCCACCTCCCTCCTTTTCTATTGCCAATATTGGTTTTGGTAGCTATCAATGATATTTTCTTGATCATGATGTAGTTTTCTAGCGGCCGGCTGGGATTGAAGTTTAAGCCATTTTCTAAGGTAGGACTTGTTTGCTAATGTTTTTATGGGTTTTTTAAGCATTTGAAGAATCCAATTCTTATATGTGTTTTTGAGCATTTCATTTCTTTAAGTGCAAGTTTTTATTTGAAGAATGTACTTAAGGGGTCCACTTTTGGCTGCATAATTTTGTTTGTGGATTTATTAGTGTTTAAGAGACTGAAGTTCCTTAATTTTTGCAGTATCCACCTTGTTATAAAGACATGAGCTTCTGGATCAGTGATTCCTTTACTGAGAACAATCTCTGTGAAGTTGTTAGAGGAATTGCTGGAGACCTTGCCGAGGAGGTATGTCCACATGATAATTCTACTTTCTGCCAATCCAACTTGTAGATATGAGGATCCCTTCATTAATGTGTGTTGACTCTTATTAGTAATTTAAAATACTAAATTATTATTTTTTCCAGGTCTTAAAATTTTTCTGTTTTGTTTCTGTTAGTTATTCATTTTTATATTTTGTCGGGGAGACGTCTACGGTTAGTAATTATATTTGAGGGACATTCACACTAGAGCAATGGTCATTAAACATTCTGTTTAGATGAGTTTCATATAAAAGTTGGTTTCTTTGAAGGTAAAAATGTGGAAACCTAAATCCTATTTAGCTTAATAAATGCAAGCTCAAATTCTTAAGTACAATAGATGTTGGCAGCTAATGTTGGTTAAAAGATTTCACTGTGGATGCTTATCTACAAAAAAAGACAACAATAAGAAACCCAGTGTAATCCCACAAACAGGGTCTGGGAAGGGTACTGTGTACGCAGGCTTTACCCCCCTACCTTGTGAAGATAGAGAGGTTATTTCCTTGGATATACCCCAATATTTAAATTCATGAATATCTATCCTGCTAGATTTCCTGAATATTTGAAATGTTTCTCTAACTCGACGCGTTTGACGGCACCTATTCATTGATATCATTAGTTCATTTCTCCAAAGTAAAAAGTAAACTATGCCGACTCAAGTACTTTTTAAGTGATTTTCGCATCATACCCTGGGATGGGAGAGGGGTGATGGGTTGTCTAGTGAAGCCAATCACCACAATTGTACAGTAGGTTTATAGGGTCGTGTTTGTAACCTGAGTTCTGTCTAGTGACCGTTGCTCCCAATTCTAATGTCAGGTGAAATTGATCGACAACTTCACCAATAAGAAAGGAATGACGAGCCATTGCTACAGGATAGCTTATCGGTCCATGGAGCGTTCACTTACAGACGAGGAAATAAATGATTTGCAGGTAAACCTTCTTTCAGATGAATCTCTACTAGGCTATTAGCCTATTACCATCTTTCTCCTGCCATTACTTAAGGTGTTTTTTAAATATTATTTGGATGCAGTGGAAAGTGCGAGAACAGGTGGAGAGCAAGTTAAAAGTTGTTCTAAGATGAGCTATTTCCTGGGGCATTTGCACAAATGGCCTTTTCCGAGGCCTCTTTAAATTCGGTCCGCGTTTGGGCTAAATTTGCCTGCCAGAAGAAATAAAAAGGAGAGGAGAAATTCATTCAACTACTCTTAAAGGGAAAGTTTAGTCCACCGGGCTAACATGGGACAAAATTTAAAGAGTGGCCTAAAAAAGGTCATACCATGAAAAATAATCCCTATTTCAAATGTTTGTTTTTGTAGCTTACGCCTTGTAATTATTTGCATTAGTTATATGTTTACCAGATGTCCAGAACTACATTTATCATGATTTCTTGATTGTATAAGTCAAACTGCTTATTTGCTGTCATTTGGCATTTTGAGGCCAATTACCCCCTGCGAACACAATGGAACCTATTTATTTCAAGATTTTCATCTTTGTAGAGAAAAAAATGCATAATAGCGCTTTGTTTGAAATCACCAGAATCTTTATTCTTGGAATTTCTAACCCATGCAAATTACCTTATCTGTAGTAGAGGCTTAGAGCACACCAAAATAGTAGAAATGACATACTCCCCGCCCGTGGGCAGTAGTATGTAGTCCCGAGCCGCTTTTAAGCATGTTATACATATTTACAGCTTATAATGCATTTAATGATTGGCCAATTCGCTCAATGAAGTTTGAATCCCTCGTGACATAGTGTCATAAAGTTCGAAAATTATGGCCAGAAATTCTAATCTTATGTCCTGAATTTTGAATTAGCACCTCAAAAATTATTTAGGACACTAAGTCTCAAATTCCAAATTAGCAGCTCAAAAACTCAGGATGCAAAAATTTAAGATATTTTGTCTTGAAGTTTACGCGAATTGGCTAATCTTTAAATACATCGTATATTTTAAATAGCAAGCTTAAAAGTGATTACTGATGTACTTCGCCCCCCAACATATTAATACCCTAAAACATCATTAAACTATCACGTTTTTGTCAGTTTTCTATTTAAACTCTTTGTTGTCACCCAAAACCTCCCTTAAACTTTATTCTGCTTCATCTTGAAACACCCTCGTTATATTTCTGGCAAACCGTATATAATAACTCGCTATTGAGCGCCTAAAGGCTGAAAAAGCCATCAAAAGGGCCCCACTTGACAACATGTAACGGCTAATTAACCTACATTCTTTCAAATCTTCTTTTCTTAACAAATTCTCCTAATACCATTCTTCCTCATTTATTCACCATTCTTCCTTCTTTTCACCATTTTCCCTCTTTTTTCACCTTTCTTCTATATTTCTCCATATGGTTCCATATGAAATTATCCATCTCTTGTCATTATTGGATCTATTTTGTATTTTTCTAGTTTTAATCTTTTTTATTTATTACCCGAATTTGTTTGAAAGAAGAAATACTTATTCTATAACTCATAAAAAGATCTAATTTTTTTTGGTAAAATTGAATTGAAGTTTCCCAGTAAATTTATACAATAATTTTGCAACAAAGAAGTTAGTTTTTAAAGAAGCAGTACCAGTGCATAACTAACTTCTTCAGAGCAACTCGAATTTTTACCAATAATCTTCACTCAGCTAGAACCCCAACGGACCCTAGATTTTTCAACAAACCCTAATTTTTAATTTCCAATCTCGAACAAAAACAAATTAAGACGGAGCAATCGAAGGTTATTAGGGAGAAATCAAGTTTACAACGAAGCTTAATGGAGCAAATCACTACTGAGAGGTGTAGTATCCATCATCGGAAGAGAGGAGAGAAAAGGGGAATCGATGAAAATGATTTTACCCTACTCCTCTTTCTTTTTTTAATTTATTGTTTTTAACCGGGTGAATATTTACCCCTCTAATAATACTTGATTATTGTTTAAAATAACTAATTAAGTCAATCTTTAGATTAATCTCACACATTGCCACGTGGCATTTTTTTTTTTTTTTTTTTTTTTTTTTTTTGGTTGATAATTTGGACCATGCAACACACACTATGTGTTTGATTACGAATGAGAATATAGTTTAGGGGGAATTAAACAAACGAAGGAGAATATAGTTTAGTATAGGGAATAGTTTAAACTATTATGACGTCAAATGGGTTTCCGCATCTATATGGGACAAATTTATGCAGCAGCCTCCGCCAAATGGCAAAACCAGAACCATGTACCCAGGGGAGTTAATGTTGAAATTTGGTGAGCATTTGGATTGTTTGGTTTGAGAATCAAATATATCCACAACGAATTAGCGGGAACAAATACCAAATTAGGTCCATTATCAGTAACATCAGCTCGAGCATCCATGGCTATTCAATGTAATTTTGTTCCATACTTTACCTGCAGACCTAGTAAAGAGATACCCTCGTTCTCTTCATTTGCCCCTTTCCCTGCAACCCAAAAGGCTCTCTTTTATGTTCATTCTACCAAATTAAAGTTCTCATCAGCTCCCAGGTCTATTTATCTTTTCCTCATTTCTTTTTTGTATAAATAAATATACACTGCAATTCTAACAAAGTTAGAAACTTTCTTTATAGGTTGCCCACAGTTATCTCTGCCTTGGTTTCTGACAAGAAAGCTGTAGACTCTAGTTATTCTGGTATCGATATGTTTAGATTGACTTACTTGGAGGTGCATTTTCTATCTTGATTATATTGCTGTATGTAGGAGTATTATTCTTTGCTGCTCTCTCAGAATCATTATTGTGGTTAAGTCAGTGTTATCAAAAGCGCGCTTAAGCCCTTAAGCGAGGCTCAAAACGTGTTGAGCGCTTTGTCTCGCTTAACGAGCACTTCAGTGTTGGCATCAAGGCTTTAAGGAATACCTTTCCTTGCTGGTGAGCGTAATCCTAAAAAAGCGACACTAAACAATTGATATTTCACTTTATCGTAAATTTTCTTCAATTTCTTTGTCCATATATTTGTTATTCATGCTTATAAATATTTGTATTTGACTACACACATATTTTCTTCAATTTCTTTGTCCATATATTTGTTATTCATGCTTATAAATATTTGTCTTTGACTACACACATATTTGAAGTTTTTCTCCATTTGCGCCTTTCTTCATTAAAGCTCACGCTTTATTTACGCTTTGCACTTAAAGCCCCAACAGACCTTAGAGCCTTTTTGCACTTTTCGCCTTTGATAACACTGGGTTAAGTTAATTCTATTTTTTTGTTTAGGGGAATAGCTGGTTGTGGGAAGTGGGAGGACTCAAACTTCTGGTTGATCCAATCTTGGTGGGTAACTTAGATTTTGGAATTCCTTGGCTGTATGATGCTGCCAAGAAAGTTCTCAAGAATTTCCAGGTCAGTGGACTGGGCCATTTTCCCATTAAATAGCTCTATATTGACTATTTATCTACATATATATTACTACTGAAATAATCTGGAATCTTATGGTGTTTGTAGAGCAGCTTGATGACCTTCCAGTGATAGACTGCTTGCTCATTACACAAAGCCTCGACGATCATTGTCATCTCAAGACATTAAAGCCTCTCTCAAAGAAGTTCCCAAACCTGAGAGTTATAGCAACTCCCAATGCCAAAACACTGCTGGATCCTCTCTTCAGCAATGTATGTGATATATTTTTAAGCTTTTCCTAAGGAGAAAAAGTAACATATATTGTACATCTGCTTCCGGAACACTGAGAATGAGAAATCGGGCGCTGATATGATAAAACAATTCGGACCATGAAGTTGAGCCTAAGAGCATTTAACAAGTCAAACATGTCAGCTATTGACAAAAACTGGTATTTTTCACTTGGACTTAAAGATAGCTGTTGGCAGAAGACTGAGAGTGTTGTAGAATGTTTTCTGTATAAAACAACGTGATAGTAAAAGTTATGGCACCTACTGGTCATTTAAGCTTTATTTAAGATAGCAAAACGATTGAGCAAGCTTGCTAGATGAGAGAATGAATACCTACCGAGGTATCAGGAGGAACTGTATGTATAAATGTTTCAGTGCAGCATCTATTAAGGTTGGAAACAAAATGCACTGTAACTGCAATAGTTCCTTTTATGATCTCTAAAATCAATTCTTTGACCCGATAAATTCATGATATGATGGTTAATCAGTTGCTCAAAAAGAGAATCTGAACATTCCATAAAGTTTATGATTTTAACAAAAGAATATGGATAGAAGATGCTCTACTCTTAAGTTACTTATTATCTGATGGGTGTTCACCGTTCTTTTCCTTTAGTTACTTCTCGTTCTACTGGAACCTAGAAGAGGGAAACGGGCAGTTGATAATTTTGCAAAATCTTGAGTAACAGATATATGATGTCAGTTGTTTTGCTGGTTTGAGATGGTTTTATGACACAAATATTTTAGGTTAAAGAAAACCTAAAATCCATTTCTTTGACTCGTGTATTCAAAGAAATCTAAGTACTTTTTCATTGCTGATCGGGAAAAAATACGAAATTAATGGGCTGAAGAGATGTAAAGAGCAGTTACTTGTGCTTAAGAGCAGTCAAATGTCCCTCTTAAGTTAATCCTTAGTTTGTAAGAATGTGAATTATGGTTTTTACATTTTTGTTCATTTATGTCCCAAATATTGGCTCAATTGCTAGCTAATCCTATCAGAGGTGTTGGACACAGTTAGCACTATTAAGCGCAACAGAAAATATTATGCTTCTCTGTGGACAGTATTTATCCACAGTAAGCTTAAGTTAGCATAATATTGTTCCTCCACTGAACAAGAATTTCGATTTCTTGGAAGTATCATGATCGTAAATTGGATAATGAGATAGTGAGGGGATATTTCTAGTAGAGGTCAGTGAAGAAGGTCTGCGCAGGCTGACAACTGTGATGTTAGAAAAATTATGTAACAAGACATCAAAGAACTGTATATTGATACTTAAATTTGAAGACTTAAACACTCATCTTGGCAATCTGCAACCCTCATTTTAGATGGGAAGAAAAACTACTGCTCTTTTCGGCCCACACAGAAGCTGTAATGAATTTCTTATAATCAATGTATTGATGGAGAGACTAAAATTTATCGTGCACTTGTGTAAATTTTTCGACGCTTCATATGATAAATGTCATGTAATCTGTTTTCTGAACAATGAACAAGACTCTTAATGTTGTTTCCTGAAAAGTTACTTTTGCTTCTAAATCTATAGGTCATCTACTTGGAACCCGGCCAGGATTCTGAGATTGAAGTGAGCAACGGCTTACAGGTTACTATTAAGGCTACTGCAGGGCCGGTTCTTGGACCTCCTTGGCAGCGACCCGAGAATGGGTAGACTTGATTATGCCATTATCTTTCTTCTCCTTTCCACTCCATGACAATGATAACTTTTACTTAGTTTGCAGTTAACTCTTTTAATAATGTGCTCCAGGTATCTTGTCACTTCTCCAAAAGGTGCTCTTACTCTCTACTACGAGCCCCACTGTGTCTATAACAAGACCTTCTTAGAAAAATACAAGGCAGACATTG